CATTAAAGAAAATTTCATAAAACTTTTTCTTGAAATATAATCTCTTAACAGCAAATAAATATATTTCATCTATATATATATATATTTCTAATATATATCTAAAAAAAAAAAACATGTACAAGAATAGGAATGTTCATGATTAAATATTTCAATACACTAATTATACATTTTTTATTATTTTTCTACTAAATTATTATTATAATTAAGACTATTTTTAATTTATTCATTGTTATTTTGCTGCTACATTAGAACCTGGTGTATTAGCAATTTTTCAATGTAATGAACATTAACAATTAATAAACCATACCACACTTATATACTGCATTTTATTGAGGATGGACTGTATTATTAAGTATTAGATTAAATTAAACTTTATTTTTTAAAAAATTGTAAGATTTTTGTTTGATACAAAAAATGCTGTACCAACTAATGAAAATTTAAATTATAAAACTTACTTTTAAAAAAATATTTTGTCTACAAATGTTACAAATCTAAAAAAGTTAGACAAGTTTTTAGGTTTCAATAACAATTACATTATACTGATAAAAAAAGAACATATTAAACTCATTTCCCTGTAATCACATATAAACATTAATTACAAAATGATTCAAATTAGAAGAATCTTGTAGCTATGTTTATTAAATGAAGCTATGGGGAACAAATCAAATAATCAAAATAAAACATATCACATAACAAAAAAATGCATTTCAATATTCTTTCCTTTATGAGCGTAATCATAATCTTATGAGTAAACACATATTAATGATAACATTCTACATTAATGTTTTAGTTCCAATTATAACAATAATACGTACATCAGATAACTGTAATGGATAGAATACAAACTATTATCAATGAATATTTCCAAATTTTCTTCTGTTACAGAAGATACTAACAAGTAAATGCATTTCAATACCATCATAAATTTTACATATAATTAACTATTATTAAACCTTTTAACATATAAATGTTTTAATTTCAAATGCATATTTGCTATATTTAACAAGTTATCAAATCAAGATTCTTAAAACTGCATTTAACATACAAAAACAAAATAATGTAAATCAATGTTACAAAATTTTTATCATCTATGGCTTTTTCCAATTTTTATATTTGTAATGCTACAAAGACTATTAATTTTAAATTATAAATATATTTAATCAATGTAAAGGAACCAGCAAATATTAATTTAATAATTATGTATTTTAAAAGAAATTATCATTGGTATTATATTAGATACTGGTCAATTTTTATCTCAATTAAGTTTCTGTATGAATACCAAATTTGGATTTTATTCTAAATTGGTAATTTATACAGAAACATAATTGAGTTAAAAATTGACTAGTATTTATTTCTGTATGAATAACAAATTTAGAATAAAATGAGCAATTATTTATTGTGACATCGTCACAATGCCAGGCTGCATTTTTAATAACCATATTTTTAATTTATTTAATTTAAAATATATGCTCTCCACCTCAAATTAGTAGTATCTTGCCCTGTACAATGGAGTTGGCCAGTCATCTATCTAACTCCTTTCAGGGGAAAAGTTTTGAATTGAAATAAAGTAACTTCTGGTTTCCATGAATTTATATTTAAGTGATATAATTTAAAATAAGAAAATCCAAATCATATTATAAATATATCATTTATATTTATGATTTCATTAAAATTCTTAAATTTATACTTTAAGTCTGCAAGAATTGAGTGACATTGTCATTAAATAGTTTACTTCTATTAATCTTTCAATATTCAAAATAGTACAATTAAAAAATAAACAAAACTTACTTTTTCCATTTTTTCATTTTTACTATTTACACATTTTTCTAATTCTACTTCCTGATTTTCTCTCTCTACTGTTTTCAAACTGAGATTTTTTTGACATAAACTATATAATAAAAAAATATAGAAATTAATTGGAAATTAATATGTGATATTAGAAATATTAATATATTCATTTACAGTTAATTACATAAAGATAAAAATACAGCAGGCAGTAACTAGGGATGAAATCATCTCATATCAAAATTCTTCTTTTATTGTGATATTAGAAACAATTTTACAAGTGATAAAAATAAATAAAACAAATTATGTTACCATGAAGAATATGAAAACTTTAATTTTACACAAAATAGATAGCAAACGTAACCATTTCAATGTGAGAGTATTAATCTTTTAATTAAGTGTCTCATAACTTTATGTGATTTAATATAGTCATACAACCATACAAGAAAACCAAAATATATACAAAAATACTTATTCTTGGTTACTTAGTATAAAACATTTAATTAATTAGTCAATTTATTACCTAGCAATAAGTTGTTTTTGTTTTTCTTTCAGTAACTCCCTTTTTTCTGTAATTCTTCTTTTTAATGATTTATGAATAGAAATCAAGTCTCTGAAATAAAATTATATGAAATATTTGAAATAAATTTTTAATATATCTGTCTACCTATCACAAAATAGCATTTTTGAAAAAGATTGAAATATCATTTATCATCATCTAAATAAGAATTAATATAACTATAAAAGTAAATAAATAAAAAATTGCTAGTTTACTAATAATTAATAATTACCTGTTTTAATATTTAAAAACTATAAAACATTTTGAATTATATTACTGAAATGATGATTCACTAATGATTTATAAAAGGTACATATCATAAAAAGAAAAATTTCAAATTATTTACAGAAATTATAATACAGATTCTATATTTTGTCATTATTAAATATTGACAGGAAAAAATTTCTAATAAACAGTTTGTTGCTTGTTTTAGTGATTGAAATTTGTTTCTTACAGCAAAAATTGTTCTTGGATACAAAATTCAAGTAAAATTAACTTCCTTATTCCGAAATTAAGTGTCAAATCTTAAAATTTTCAAGGCAAAATGATTTTTTAATGTTGAAAATATATTATGACTACAAACACTAAGCATATTTAAATAAAGTAAAAATACCCTCTTTTGGTGTTAAAATTTTAATACAATTAGAAATACTGTATTTATTTTAATAAACAGTGCAGTTGAAAGTTACAGATAACTCTCTAATAGTAAGTGCATTGTCTATTGGAGGAAGATGCCCAGCTGAAATATATAAAATCAACTATATTAACTCAGCAAATGTATATTCAAGATCAATATGTTTTTCCAATTTCTTGAAAATTTATTCTAATACATTAAAATGTTACATTTTTTATTTATTTATTTTTTGTTATAAATGTATACATATATACATTAAACCCTTGATTTAACAGATAAAAAATTTCTTCCTAAAAGAAATAACCATAGAACCTTTTCTTCATTCACCAATAGAATTTTATTTTAAGAGATTGGGTCAATAAGTCAATGAATTAATGATCATAAATTACTCAGTGTACATTACAATTATATTTTATTCATGCTTGTATATTATAGGACTATTTAAATACATCCTGTACATTGTAATTTCATTATTAATGTATTCTTATACAACACATTTGATTTAACAGATTTTCATCAATAGTGGACACTTCATTCTTCCAATTAGTTCATTAAATTAGAATTTATTGTGTTCTTTTACTTACCTTGCATTTTTATGCCATTTTTTGTGCAATTCTTGTGAAATTTCTTGTAATCTTAAAAAATTACAAATGGATTTATCTGTGGATAACTGAAGAATGGTAGTTGATGCTTTTGAATATTCAGATGAAAACAATGGTAAACGAAGAACATGTTGCCAACCATATTCACGAATAATCACTTTTCTCATAACGTAGCGAGAAAAACAAAGATATAAAATACAGAATTTATCTCCGCCAGGAGATAAAAATATAGAAGGTACAATTTGAGGAAATCTTGCTTCAGAATATTCCTAAAATAATCAAAATTTTATAAGAAGTGAATTGTTAAATTAAATATTTAAATTTTTAAATATTTCTTGATATTATAAAAAAAATATTGAAAAACTGATTACAAAATGTTATACTTAACATATAACATGCATTAATATATAAAAAGTAGAGAGGCAGAGATTGTATCAATCAAATTATCATTCTTCAATTATTTTTTACCTAAAGATTTTTAAATTATTAAAAATTTTGAGTTTTTAAAATATTATTTCAGAAATTACAATTTCACATAAAAAGCTCCTACTTTTCTAGCTTTGCAATAAAAAACTGAAAACACACACTTTCAGTCTTTTAACAATTCAACTATTTAATACAAATATTCTTATTAGTTTTATTCAAATTCAGCATTCATATGAGAATTCCTTAATAAAAAAAAAAGCAAATCTATGTTCAGATTTTTTTTTATTAAGAAATTCTCATATGAACATTGAATTTGAATAAAACAAATGAGAATATTTGTAATCCTTGCAACCAAACATAAAAACAAGTAAAATTAACTCGTTATTTTTATGCAATTTACTTTACATTTCTCAATAATTGTTTGTGTTTCTGTGCATGTGTGTTGTTTGTGTGTGTGATTTTTTCCCTTCTTTATATATAAACAGGTTTTTACTGTAGTATGATATATATTCATATATCAAACGCCTTTTGTCTGTTGTATTTAAACCAAATGTTTAATTGATAAGCTTATTATATTTCTTTTACAAAATACTGAATACAAAATATACAATTATTAAAGTACTTAAATTTATTGAATACAATTAGATATACTTATTGGCTAAATAATTTATCTATCAGCAACTTTTACAGATCATCAATTATATACATGCATAATTATCTCTGTGCTCTTATTTACAAAATATGATAGAATGATAATATAAATACTCACTACAGAAATATCCTTTAACCAGTCACAACAAGTTTTACGAAATTCTCTTTCTTGTTTCTTATCAAAAATTGGCCAGCAAAATCTGAAAAATTGTTTTATAAGAAATTTTAAAAAACATTTGTGTAATTATCTTTAAAAATAATCTAAATAGAATATTACTTTTGCATAACAAAATTACAAGTGCCACCCAATAAATTTTTACAGTCAGATATATCCGAATAAGACGTTGAAAGTAAATGTACAACTGAAATCTATGACACTTCCTATCATTACATAAAAAGTTTCTTGTAAGGATAGTTCAAGTAACTACCATGGAATTCATAATTGAATAATCCTGCACTAATATCTTTTATGCTATATCAAATTTATCCCCAAAGAATCAACTGAATGCTTAAAACAAACTTTTAAGAATATGGAACTTTCAGACAAAACAGTTTATAACTAGTTAAATTTTATCAGGAACAATCAATACAATCCATAACCATCATGGCTATAAGAAGCTTGTTGCCAGATAATTACATTTATTCACAAGTAAAAGAAGACAGTTTGGAATGGTGCGTGTATTTAAAAATTCAAAGAAACTTGATAATTCTGAAAAATTCAAAGAAACTTTCAAATATTCAATGCAAGACTTTCAACTGACAATAAAATTTGAATAAACAGTTTTGAGACTGAAACTAAAATCAAAGTAAAATTTAATTTTCTTCATCTTCACTACCTCCAAAAAATTCTACAGTAAAAATGTTTGAAAGCAAATGGTTTCCACATTTTTTTAATTAAAAATAGTTTCATCACAATGGTCAAATTGGTAGATCAAACAACAGTTAATACGCATCTGTCTATCTCAAAATATCTAACAAAAGATTTTGAAAATGTTTGAGAGCCACCAAAAACTGATCTATGAGAATCCTGCTTCCCATGACAATGCCCGTTTTACTTTCCCAGCTATTATGTATACATAACAAGTGAAAGTATTGAACTTGTCAAATTTGGCCCTCAGAGTTTTTTGCAGACCTCCATGTTTTTAGACCTGAACCCAAATAACAGCAAAAAAAAAAAAAATTCCGTGCATATACAAAAGCTATTTTTTAAATAAGATCTGTTTTTTAATAAGAAGAAAAATACTGTAAATATCATTAAAATATATTTTTTTCCATATTCTATATACTTTTATCTAGTTTTCTACATAATTTCCATTTTTCTTCAAACATTTGTCATACCACTCAACAATTTTTTGAATTCCAACTTCAAAGAAATCTGCCACCTGTGAAAAAGCCAAATGCACAACTGCTGTTTTCACTTCGTCATCGTTGAACCGTTGACCACCAGAAAACTCCTTTACATATTGAAACAAGTGAAAATCACTGGGTGCAAGGTTGGACTGTAAGGTGGATGGTCCAGTTGTTCCCATCCAAAAGAACTGATTAGACTTTGTGTTTGTGCAGAAACATGTGGCTTTGCATTGTCATGGAGCAACGTCACACTGGAAGACAGTGGACCATGCCGCTTGTTTTGTATGGAACGCTGGAATTTTCTCAAGGTCACACAATATGCATCAGAATTGATTGTTGTACCTCTCAGCATAAATTCCACTAACAAAATCCCTTTCCTGTCCCAAAAGACAAGAAAGGAATTTTGTTAGTGGCATTTCAACACGAAAAATTATGAATTATGACAACTGTTCCAAAAGACAGTTGTCATAATTTTTTGTGTTGAAATGGACTGTTTGGCTTTCGTTGGTGAAGATGTGTGTCATCATTCCATTGACTGTTGCTTGGACTCAGGAGTCATGACACATCCAAGTCTCATCTCCTGTAACAATGTGGTCCAACAATTCATCTCCTTCCTGATCATATTGAATCGAAAATGATAAAGCACTGCCCAATCTTTGTTTTGTGATCATCAGAAAGCAGTCTTGGAACCCACCAAGAACACAATTTTTGATAATTCAGTTTCTCCGAAACAATGGTATACAAAACTATTCCTTAAACCTGTGGAAATTCAATTGATAACATTGAAATCGTGAATTGTCAGTCCTCTCAAACTTTGTTATCCACATCACAAACCAAATCTTCAGAAATCAGAGAAGGTCAGCCAGGATGTGGCTCATCGTGCACATTAACCCGCTCGTCCTTGAACATTCTCACCCACTTTCAAACTTTACAGTCACTCATACCATTATCATTGTAAACTTCACATATCTGACGGTGAATTTCCACTGCTGCCAAGTTTCTTGCACTCAAGAATTGAATAACAGATCATATCTCACAGTCAGCGGTGACTCAATTTTCTTAAACATTATAAACTTTTACAGCTCAGCACACAAACAGACGACACAGCTGCAAATGGTATGCGCAAATGTGCAAAGCATGCTCAGAGCAGACGCACATATACACTGCTGCAATCGTGCGTCATTCTCACTCTCATTCACAAACGGACCTTATTCCTTATTTAAAAGATAGCCCTCGTATATATATGTATATATNTTCAGAATTATAGAATGAGAAAAGCATGTAATGATTTCTTCATACTATAGTAACAATTTGAGAAAACAAATATTTTAATCTCAGGATGTTAAAAAACTAACTTATGTTAGTTTATTTTAAAGTTTAATATGCTGTAAGTACATAAAAATATTTATTTACAATGTTATTTTCAACATAATAATGTTTTGTTTTAAATACATTGAATTTATTTTTTAAAAACATTAATAAAATCAATTTTCTAAATATACAAACCTGTTAATATTTACTTTGCCATTTTTGTATGTTTTTGTTATTCCTTTCTGAAAAAATTCAATAAATATATTTCAATTTTATTTATTGTGTACAGTATGCAACAAATATAATACTAATAATAATAAAAAATAAAAATATAATAAATTATATTTTTTACCTGTAATAATTCCTCTCTACATTCTTGCAGAAATGTATCAGGAATATGAAAATTTAACAATTCTCCTTCTAATGTTCTTGAAGAATTATCATCTATAACAGAACTTATAATCTCCCAATAATTCTTTTCTTTAGCCTGAAAATTTTCCAAATTCTTCCACATTCTACAAACCTATCATTANAAACCACATTTGACACATTTGAAGTTCAGGAGTGTCTTCCCCATACATATTACAAATTATTTTTACTGTTTGTATGATGTTATTTTCTTTCTGAAACTTATAAAGCATATGCTGAACATGCTTTCTATCCAAAGACATTTTGACTTGATTTTATTGAAACAAAATGTGAGTAAAAAGTTTAAATAAGCTTCTAATCAAAGAATACAATCTCAGATTAGCAACAATATGTTAAATTTCACAACTGTTATAATTAAATCAGTGTTAAGTAAAGACAGCTGTTAAAAATACGGAAAACTTTCTGTTCAACCCAATATACTCTTTACTTATTTACTATGGCATCTGAGAAGGGTGTAATATCAATGATTAAGGTGAATTTATTGCAAAGAATGAAAGCAGTACACATTTAGAGGATCTGGTGGCCATGTTTAAGATGTCAAAATCAATAGTGTGAGACTGGTAAATGGTCCCACACGATTGTCTTTGACATCTTAAACAATTTTCTGTTTATTATGCAGTATTTATTTATTTATTGTTTTCATCTTTTAATTTATTATTAGGGAATTTAATTGCATTATTTTTACCTGAAATTATGATTTATTGAAATGAGTATTGTTTAGGGTCTGAGAATGGATTAATTGACTTTCCATTATTTCTAATGGAAAAAATTGATTCAAACTTTGAATGATTTAGTGTCAAACAGCCTGCAATAAATTACATTCAAAGTACACATACCACTGTATAGTATTGATATAATCTCCATTTGGTACCAATGTAATTCTGAATGAAGCAGTGGAGACCTTATCAGGGCTGTAAACCATGTTCATCAAAGTAAAAAAGTAAAAGGAACCAATAGGCTGATTTCTGGGGAGGTTATAAGTCACAAACAACCCTTCATGAGTTATAATCACCCAGAAATCAGCCTATCTGGAATTTTGAAGATCCTCAAAACTAAAGTAAAATTTAAGTGAAAAATCCAAACCATTTCTCAAAACAATGCTGAAATTCAACTGTTTTTTCCACTTTAGTTTACTAGAGATGACTAGGCCTCTATCCCTAAGGATTCCATATCTAGTCTCGGATTTCATCTGTGACCAGATGAAATCCGAAATTAAGGAAAGACAGACAATAATAACAAATTTTTCAACTTGCAGCCCAATTAAAAATATATGTCCAATCTGTTAAAACAATTTTTAACTATTTCAAATAATGAAAGCAGAAGAATTCAAGTTTTATGCCAAAGATGGTTTTTGCAATATTGTAATATTCATTTAGATAGATTTGACTCCATATCCAGACTTCCATATCATTTAAATCAGCAATAAAAACATTTGATTTTTTTAAAAGTCAAAAATTTATCACTGAATTAAACACTTTTTGGAGCCATTATCTCCATTTTTAGATATTTCAGAATGAAGATGAAATTCTAATAAATAAAAGAGAAATTTTGTAAGTTTGATTGATCTGTGGCAGTGTAAATCTGAAACTATTTGAAAATAAACATGAATCAAATTTAAAAAATATCTTTAAATTAGAAAACACTATCAAATTTAATATAAACAAGAATGAAGATCATTAAAATACAGTAATACCTCGACTTACACGATTTTCAAATCTCGTTGATTCGTCTTTTGTTTGAGCGCCACGCAACTCTGGATTACTCATTCCCCCCACACTATTGTTCAGCTTACATGTTCGGACGTGTCGCATGGAATCTTATTAAAACTTTAATAAAAGGACACAAATTTAACATGGTTGGAGTGGAAGCTAACATGTCGGACTTTCTTGGAAAGTATCAACACATTGTTAAAAAAGACTGAGCTACTTGTTTTAATTCTTGATTTAGAAGAACACAACTTTGCATTAAACCTGAGAAAAAATACTTCAAAAAAATTGAATAAACCAGAATAAATTCTGAAATTTTCCAGATATATGCAAATTGCTCTATAGATATTACTAGTTTTTTCCTTCTTTCATAAATTATAAAAATATAATAAATTAGATCATTAACTTAATATAAAGATAAACATTTGGATGAACACCATTTATAAACTGATAGTATAGCTTATTTCAAGCTTATATAAATTCCTAAAAAATTTTAAATCAATAGATATTTTATAGAAAACAAGCAATTATTTATTGTGACATCATCACAATGCCAGGCTGCAATTTTTAATCATATTTTTAATTTATTTAATTTTAAAATATATGCTCTCCACCTCAACACTTAGTACTTGTACTCCACCTTGACACTTAGCACTAAGTACTCCTCCTCGACACTTAATACTGTAGTGTCTGGCTCCTGTACATCATACTTCTCCTTTAACAATTGAATCGTGCCAGTCATCTATTAACTGCTTTTAGGGGAATAGTTATGAATTGAAATAACATGACTTCTGGTTGGCATTATAAATTCGTATATAGTTAATCGAGGCCTCTATCCCTAAGGATTCCATATCTAGTCTCGGATTTCATCTGTGACCAGATGAAATCCGAAATTAAGGAAAGACAGACAATAATAACAAATTTTTCAACTTGCAGCCCAATTAAAAATATATGTCCAATCTGTTAAAACAATTTTTAACTATTTCAAATAATGAAAGCAGAAGAATTCAAGTTTTATGCCAAAGATGGTTTTTGCAATATTGTAATATTCATTTAGATAGATTTGACTCCATATCCAGACTTCCATATCATTTAAATCAGCAATAAAAACATTTGATTTTTTTAAAAGTCAAAAATTTATCACTGAATTAAACACTTTTTGGAGCCATTATCTCCATTTTTAGATATTTCAGAATGAAGATGAAATTCTAATAAATAAAAGAGAAATTTTGTAAGTTTGATTGATCTGTGGCAGTGTAAATCTGAAACTATTTGAAAATAAACATGAATCAAATTTTAAAAATATCTTTAAATTAGAAAACACTATCAAATTTAATATAAACAAGAATGAAGATCATTAAAATACAGTAATACCTCGACTTACACGATTTTCAAATCTCGTTGATTCGTCTTTTGTTTGAGCGCCACGCAACTCTGGATTACTCATTCCCCCCACAATTGTTTTTAATCTATATTTAAAATTTTCAGGTGTAGAAATTTGCATTGCCACTCCTGGTCGCCTGATTGACTTTTTGGAAGCTGGTAAAACTAATTTACGACGTTGCACTTATCTTGTGTTAGACGAAGCTGATCGTATGCTCGATATGGGTTTTGAACCGCAGATTCGGAAGATTGTCGAACAAATAAGAGTAAGTAAATTTTAAAAAATCTAATTTCAAAACAAATTCTAAAAATTCTCATATAGGTATTCATAAAGTTAATTATATAGTAGTACCTCAAACTTTGATTCTAACTTCTGTTTACTAAATTTTTGAATCTTCCAATTTTAAAAAATCTAATTTAAAAACAAATTCTAAAAATTCTCATATAGGTATTCATAAAGTATATTGTATAGTAGTACCTCATACTTTGATTCTAACTTCAAATGCTTCAGAGTTCAAATGCTAAATTTGACAAAAGTTTGAATGATGCTTCAAAGTTCAAACTGTGCACACAATGAAAAAAAATGCCCTCAAAGCATAAGCACAATCTGTTATGTGCCCAAGTCATCTCTTGCTCTCGCATTACACTTGTGTTTTCATTGCTTTTTCATTTTATTTTTGGTGTGTTTAGTTATGTTATTCATTGATTTTTAACAATTTCTTCCTTGACAGCTTTTGGGCACGCACTATGTTTTGTATTTTAGTTCAAAATTTCCCAAACAGAACTTTTTAAACCACATTTGACACATTTGAAGTTCAGGAGTGTCTTCCCCATACATATTACAAATTATTTTTACTGTTTGTATGATGTTATTTTCTTTCTGAAACTTATAAAGCATATGCTGAACATGCTTTCTATCCAAAGACATTTTGACTTGATTTTATTGAAACAAAATGTGAGTAAAAAGTTTAAATAAGCTTCTAATCAAAGAATACAATCTCAGATTAGCAACAATATGTTAAATTTCACAACTGTTATAATTAAATCAGTGTTAAGTAAAGACAGCTGTTAAAAATACGGAAAACTTTCTGTTCAACCCAATATACTCTTTACTTATTTACTATGGCATCTGAGAAGGGTGTAATATCAATGATTAAGGTGAATTTATTGCAAAGAATGAAAGCAGTACACATTTAGAGGATCTGGTGGCCATGTTTAAGATGTCAAAATCAATAGTGTGAGACTGGTAAATGGTCCCACACGATTGTCTTTGACATCTTAAACAATTTTCTGTTTATTATGCAGTATTTATTTATTTATTGTTTTCATCTTTTAATTTATTATTAGGGAATTTAATTGCATTATTTTTACCTGAAATTATGATTTATTGAAATGAGTATTGTTTAGGGTCTGAGAATGGATTAATTGACTTTCCATTATTTCTAATGGAAAAAATTGATTCAAACTTTGAATGATTTAGTGTCAAACAGCCTGCAATAAATTACATTCAAAGTACACATACCACTGTATAGTATTGATATAATCTCCATTTGGTACCAATGTAATTCTGAATGAAGCAGTGGAGACCTTATCAGGGCTGTAAACCATGTTCATCAAAGTAAAAAAGTAAAAGGAACCAATAGGCTGATTTCTGGGGAGGTTATAAGTCACAAACAACCCTTCATGAGTTATAATCACCCAGAAATCAGCCTATCTGGAATTTTGAAGATCCTCAAAACTAAAGTAAAATTTAAGTGAAAAATCCAAACCATTTCTCAAAACAATGCTGAAATTCAACTGTTTTTTCCACTTTAGTTTACTAGAGATGACTAAAAGCTCATTAAACACAAGAAATGACATTGCACCAATTGTTTCCAGGGTACAATTGGCATCATGTTACACACTCCATTAAGTCTATTGTGTGTTTAATGAAACAAAACCTTTAGATGCAAATATCTCACAAAGGATTACAGTTAGAGCACGTTTGGAAATTCTAACCGATAACACTGCAATAGTGGTGACTGACATCATCAGTCATAGCCAGTTATTCCGGGAGATTAGCATATTTTTAAACACGCTAGTTATTTTGTGGTGTTCAACATGGTGGAAAGTCGAGAGGAGATGATATTAATTCTATCATTGCTCACAAATACTGATTCAGAATCATATGACGACGATGATTCGACAAGTTCATCAAAAGATGAAAATGAACTTATAAAATTTTTTAGACGAGTATCGGAGAAAAATTTATCTTTGTTTAGTTTATGCTGTGAAATAAATAATTTTGTAGCATTTGCCATTTTCCATGCTGCCTCATCTGAAATTTGGAACAACATGGCCTTCTGATCTTGATTGCTTTGTGTCGCAGAAACAGAATGTTTTATTTTCTCTATTTTTATCACAATTACATTTGTCACACGAAACAATGTGTCCGCCATCTGGTAATTCAATAGAACCGCCGCAACCGCTTTATCACCTTGGTTACTTTGGTAAGTACCACAGGAGAACTGGTGACATCATAACACATTTGGTTATTTAAATCATGTTTTCTAAATGCCTTGGTAACTACCGGTAACACTGGTTACAATTTCCATACGAGCCCTTAGAGTGATGGCTTTTTTACTTTTTGGTCACGTAGGGGATCTAAAATTTGGGGGTCCAAACTCCTCATTCAGAACTGCAATTTTACTTTCCATTTCATTGTAATATTTAATTGATTTTTAAAAATCAAAATCGCTCTCTCTCTCTTTTATAATATCTAAATATTTTAAAAATAAAATGTTATTAAAAAGGGAACGGTGATAATATGTAAGAGGTTAAATAAAAATGCAAATAAACTTATGTAAAATTTAAAATTTCAAAGCATCATTTATGATTAAAGTACCTGAATCTTTCTTTACAAAGAACCGGATCCAAATTCATAAACAAAAAGTGACTAACAACTTCAAAGGCTTTTCTATTCGGTTTCAGAAACATATCCCTAAAATAATCACAGTTAAAAATTAATTATTATTTTAGACGTATAAAAAAAATCTTTATTTAATTACACAGAATTCATATTATATTTACTTATGAAATTTTATTTGATGTTTTGTTTCCATGAAATCGGGATCAAATCCAAGATAAAGCAGATTGGTGAAAAATGTTTGATTAATATCCTCCATGATTGTTTATGCTTAATGAAAGTCTTAAATTATAAGAATTCAAACAACCAAATTTTCACAATTAGAAATGATTGAAATGACCACTTCACAATTAGAAATGATTAAAAATAACAATTCATATGTTAATATGACGTCATTATTCCGCCAAATTTTAACCGTGTGACGTCATTAACTTGTTCATTACCCATAACAGTTGTCAATTCTTCCAAATTATTCCAATGGCGTTGTTGTCATTTATACTCGACTTTATAATTTCTGTGAAGCGTAATATTTAATGTAAATTAATTTGATTTATCAATTTGAATTCTCGAATATTATTCGAAAAATAAGTGAAATGAGAAAAAACGTAAAGTACAATTTAACTTTACCGCTTCTGCACGAAACATGGAAACTTCAGTTTAACAGTGTTGCCAGCTTTCGATAAATTCGTAATTTTTTTGAAATTACGAATTTAATCGAATCTATATTACTATTATTTTTATTATTTATTTACTGATTAAATGTAGTGTTAATATTTATTAATAATTTAATTCAATTTTTATTTTTATTTTTATAAATTACTTTTCAAAATGCATTCGTATATTTTAATGTAATACCAGCTGTCCCTTGATAATCCGACAGGTATGGGACAAAAGGGGTGTCGGATTACCAAAGTAATTACATATTTTGCATTGTTTTGCTAGCAGTAGCCTACAATATTCCCTACTCCAACTGTTCGAACAGAAATGCTCACGGAAAACACACGAAATGTAATATGTGTCATCGTGTAAGAATTGGGTGGGAAGATTCACGTCGCGACATGCTTCTGTGCAAGCAGACACGTAACGGGGACGGGTGCCTTAACGGGAGATGCGTCGGACTACTGAGGATGTCGGATTACAAAACGTCGGACTATCAAGGGATAGCTGTACTATATATAATAAATCTAACTTTTTGACTTTTTCCGCCGTGTTGTTAATAAGTGGCCTTTTTTCCATGCCCATCGCGGATTCGGCCAAATTAGATGATGTAGGTAGACTCGACATAATTATCCAGCAAAGATCACTTATAAAATTTTTGATCGAATGAGGATGGGAAACAACCCATCCTCATTCAATCACGGATCGCAAAGCGGTAGACTGGCCCTTTAACTGCCTTGGCCATCCAGTCTGTATAAATGAAGAATTGTAGCTTATACCTTATAAAAAATTTAAAATCTTTCAAACCCATTAATTAAGATGTGTAATATAAATGTGGAAGAATTACAATTGACAGTAGGAAGCCTGTTCTCAATGCAATAGAATTTTTTAATGAAAAAAGTAATAAGCTTAAGAATTAGTCTTTTTCAATTAATTAATAATAAAACATAATTAAATTTAGCTGACTGAATGCTGAGGCGACAAAATTGTCTGCTTCTAAAAGTCGCTGGTTCGAATACTCAAGAATCTGAGAAAAGTTTGCTGCTTCGAGTGACAGAAAATTTCAATTCAAATGATTTTTAAACTAAAGATGAAAATATATGTAAAAAATTATTAGGTTATTATATTAGATTTAAACCAATAGTAAAGAAACATTGTCATGAGAATAATATATATAAACGGTATATATCGGTGACTCAAATAGTTCATAAATGGTTCTCAACAAAATAAGAAAAATTCGATTTTAATTCAATCTTCAGCTTTTTCCATGTTAATGAATATCGAACCAGATATTTGTAGAAACATCGATAATGATATTAATATGCTAAATGAATCTAATGCCATACGCGACAATTATTTCAAATGGGTGTGACGAGATAACCCAAGGCGAATTTAAAGTAAGAAAAGTTAGTTATATTTATTTAAAATTTTGCTGAGAAACATGCATATAAGATTTGGCAGACGGCCTGATAGCCTAGCAGCCCACCGCTCTGGCACACCAGGATCTAATCCGGATGGATCGAAAAACCATATAATTCAAAACTTCTTTTATTTATTAAATTAATTTTTATATTCTAGTACAAATTAATATTATATAATAGGCCTAATATGATTTTTATTTTAATTCTTATTATTTAAACACAACATTGTGTTATATTTTGCGTATTGTTTTGAAACAAAATATAAAAATATAATGTGTGTTTCTACTCCATTAATAATTTAATTCTATTTATAGTATATTTCGACTTTTATTTTATTTTTCTTCCAATATTCCATCTCTCTATCTCTTGTTTTTCTTATTTCTATGCATAGTAGCGGTATAATCGCTATTTATAAAGAGAATAATCTAAATTATACGGCTGTGTTTTATATTATAAATATCCCAATTATTTTCTTAAATTATATAAAAATAAAAATATTTAAAGTAACGTAGATCATATTTAAAAACAAAAAAAAAAAATAAAATAAAATAAAATAAATAAACTACAATGCTCGCGATAATAAAAGTTTATCATCAAATTTTTTCCGTCGATGTAAATAAACTTATAATTAATAAAACGATAAACGTTTAAATTAAAAAAAACTAAGATTAAATTTAAAATCTATCGAAACAGATACATTTTTATTAAATATTTAATAAAGCAGTCGAAATAAAATTAATAATTAATTTCGACATATTAATAGCTATAAAAAAGTAGAAAATGAAATAATAAAAATAATATTATAGATATTTTTTAATCGATTATTTAATTATTAAGTCTTATTAATAACTTTACAGTTAAAAGAAAGCTGGATAATATCTCAAGTAGACCTATTTTTGTACAGGTAATATTTTATCGATTTTTATTTTCGGACGGACGAACGAAGAAGCTTCCATATCTATTTAAAAATTTTGTAGGTGGAGCTGGCAACAGTGAATCTCGGCAGAAATCGTTTTCTTCTGCTGTGTGGTGGTTTTTCTCAATGTAAATAAACGAAAAGAAGCAAGAATTAATTCTTGCCTACAATTACCGAGGAATGAATTCAATTGCAGAAAAGATAAGGATATCCGCTTTCATCAGTATTACACGAGTAAATTCAAAACATCCCATTTAATATAAGTATTGCCTTAATTGAGTTTGTATTGGTAAGTATTGTTTATGTTTTTTTTTCCCCTTTATTTTGAATTTATATACGTAATGACGTCATCACATGTGTGTGTATATATAATAGGCATGGCTTCCTGTGGTAAATATTTGTTTTTTAAATGGATTGTGTAATATTTTGATCGATAATGAATAGAACTGGTGCTTGGGAAAATGTATAGGTGTGTGTACTTTTTTTAAATATTTTTTTGCATTATAAACATTTCCTTTAAGTGTTAAAGAAGCCTTGAATGTTGATTTATAGATATATGGATTAAATATAACACTACTACTAAATATAGTTTATTGGATAATTCTTATAACCGAATTAATTATATAATTAGGAAAGTATTAAGGGTTTTTGTCCATTTCGGCATGATTTTCTTTAACGCATCCGCAATTGTGCCGCCGTTTATTTAGGTGTTATACGCGCAAAGTATCTTTTTATCTCCATACTTTTTAATGTAAGTTTAATTTTTTAACGAATTTAAATGTCGACACGTGATGTAAAGTTAATTACTATGAAGATTTCTGAAATGAAATCAAAAGTTGTTTTGAAGGAAGTTTTGGCATTGTTAGTTTGCTGGCTTCGAATAAGGAAAGTTTGCCAAAGTGATTACAATGGTATAAAAGAAAACGTTGGCAATAGATGCTATTTAATTGCTCCTGTTTCACTAAAAATAAATTTTAATTTCTTTTCTCTTAATCTTTTTTTTTTTTTTTTT